GCTTGGAAGAGAAGAAGGCCGAGCAACCTTGAACGGGATCGGGTCCTTATGATCGCCCACCGGAGTTCTCCGGATACCGATGCGAAACATTTACCCTGCCAGAGTGTCAACCCTTGATTTGGTGACGGTAAGGCTATTGTGACTCAGCCTCCCATAAGTACAAACACATATATCAATATGTACCTATAGCACTTCCAATGGGTACCCTGTCTGGATGGTATGTAGGGTAGGGTAGTCTAGCCAGGACACCCAGACAGGATGATCCTGGTATGAATCATCATGAATCATCCAAACTCTCAAAAATCTGACCCAAGTGATCTGGCAACCCTCCTCTGCCCAAGCCTCAGCGTCAGCTTGCATTCTGCCATCACTCAATGGGGTCTATCCCTAGACATGGCAAAGACCTCAATTTACTGGGGCAGGTCTACCTATAAGTCTTCCAACTATGCAACGTGTCTGGCTTTTCATCTTTAAAACTAGCCATGTTCATGTTTGGCAGGTTTGAATAGTTGGAACAGACCACAGAAGAACCGTCCTCCAGCTGCTCGGAATTCTCCGTCTTCGCCGCCCAACGGGCGGCCGCCCAGACCAGACGGAGACCGTCGCCGAGCGGCTGAAATCGCCTCGCTCCACTGCTCCAAGTTGGGCGTACCACTGAGGGACATCCGTTGCAAGGCATCCTGCGCGAAGATTTTGGACCCAACAACCACCAGATTTGTTTCGCGGAAGTCTGGAAGATTGAAGGCTACAATAACGTGTTTTATGTTTTTTTTTCTGTTTCTGAAGGGCGTGTGAATGTAAGAATCTCTCTGGTGGTCGACGTCCACACAACTAGGCGAAGATTGGTGGAATCTTTTGGGGCAATGAGGAAACTCCTTTGCAGAGCGCTAGGCAGGCTAGGAGGCCGAAATCTCCGAAAGGCCCAGGAGGCCCTTCTTTGGGTCTTGCGGGTTGGGAACTCCTCAGAGCTTCAAACCAATCGCTCCCGGTGAGACCCAAAACGATGGCGCGACCCACATCGGCGAAAAAGGCGCCCGGGCCGCGGGTAGTGCGGATCATGACAGTGTGAGATGGTTCTGCCTGAAAACAGCACCAAGTACCAAACGTGCGGTAAACAGTCCTACCACCTTAGAGCTCAACAATTTTACTTTCATTGGCTTTCTGCCGCAGAAATGCCTACCCTCCTCATTCCTCCACTGAATACTCGCCTTTGGGACCAGGCTTCTCTACGACCAGGTGTGCTCCACGAAGAGGACATGCTCAGCACAATGCTCAGCGCACATGGTTCCTTACATTCCCTGAAACACCTCATGGTTCCGTGGAGTGCCAACTACCAGTTGGGTGAATCCGGATTGCACATGGTCATTAGGTCACAACGAAACCACCGGCAGAAGCGGGTGTTGAACCGTTCCTATGAAACCAGCCGGCGATTGTTTCATGGGAAAAGTGGGGGCCACTCCTGGCCCTAGAAGTCCAGGAACCGACCATTTGAGGCACCACCCGGTCGTGTTCGTTCCTCTTCACTCGGATCACCAAGTCGGACCGTTTTTGAAACATGGTCTTTCCTGGACGTCCCAGGGTAGATACTACGAGCCTCCCACGCAACCGTCCCGCCCTTCCGGCCGGACACCAGACCCGTGCCGCCGCCCAAACCCCGAGACCCTCGTGATTGGGCCAAAGCCTCCGGGGCGGCCCCCCGGAACCCCAAACGAACACTCCATGAAATTGGCCACTCCATCGGGTTTCCGAGGCGCCATCCACCCCATCATTTGACTTGCTTAACTTGCTAAGAGCAACATAGAGCACCTCCAGCTAGCTGAGGCTAGCTTTCGTGATATGCCAACATTGACCCCCTGAAGCCAACCACCCCCCAATGTATGGTTAAATATGCCAGTCCCATTAGTCCGGGGGGAATGCGGACTCTGCAGGTGGACGCTTTGGAGGGGGGCGGTTCCGAAAACGCGAGGATGGCGCCTGAGGTGAGGCTGCGGCGGTCTTGAAGAGCTTCATCAAGTCCTGCCTGAAGTGCTAGGACCACACGGAAAAGCGCCCTTGCTGGGACTTGATGTGAAGAGCTCGATTCACCACGCTGGATTCGGGGTTCAATATCTTAATCTTGAAACAACACCCACACGCAAAACACCTCTTCAAACACCTGCTGCTTGCACGATTGCTGTGTTACAAGCTGTTACTAGCTAGGCACGCTTTGCCGCCATTTCGTCGCCTCTAAACCTCCGAAGAAAACATATTCCCAGACACGACCCATGGGACTGCCATATGCCCAAAACCACCCCAACTGATCGGCATATATGGCAGTCCCGGGTCTTGGGAACTCGAACTCCGCATGGCGATGGGGCCACCGTCACTTCGGCCCCCCGTGCCGGGAACTTCTATCCGCTCGATCCAGTTCGGGGAAACAAAGACTGGGAGAGACCGGGCATCGCATCCACCGTCAGTGTCACCGGTTTAGTGCATTTGATCGACACTAGCAGTCACTAGCACAGAGACCTTCGCTCATTAGCACCAATCAGCGGCTTGTGTGGGATGTGTGCCAAATACCGTATTGGGTCTACCCCGTTACCAGTGGATGATGATTGTTAGTATAAGGGTCTTTCTCTAAAGGTAGTGATAGTTGTTGATCGATGGCTCTGCAGGTCATGGTACGAACCCAAGCCAAATATGGAATAACTCATAACACTCACTGGGAACACCTGCCACTTCTCTTCAGCCCCATGGAGGCTGCCAGGAGAAAAAGAGACACGGATGTCACTGAGCACAACTCGCTCAACATTCTTCAACTCATGTCGAGTGAAGAAGAACTCAACATCAACTTCAATCCCATCCACGCGAGTGAAGCAACGTCTGAAGCACCTCTCAGATCCACTCAGCTTCCCCCCATTTTCTGCCAATCCATTGCAGTGGTTGAAAAGTCGATTGAGTATCATTGGATCCATGATGCTTCAAGAATGATCTTCCACATCTGATCTGAACCCATTGAGGATCCATGACGATCCATTCCAAACAGGTCATCCCAGGTCCTGCTGCGCACCGTCCGGGCCCCCGCGCGGATCCAGGGGCGCAGCGACCTCGACAGGTGAAGCACCACGAAGGCCATCAGATGAGGTGTCAAAGGCCGGATCTCGAGCTCGACACTCCGACGAACACATCACATGGTTACGTGGATGGCACCGCCCGTTTGCCCTCAAAGGAACATGGTATTCCAAGGGCCCATGCCATCCACGTAACCATGTGATGTGTTCGGCGGAGTGTATCGACCTCTGTTTCGCAAGTGGTTGAAGTGGGTCTAACATGGTCTAACTACCTTCAGGATGTGGTTGAAGGTGGGAACAAAGGTGAGCCCTAGGGACCTACATGGATCCTTAAACATCTTCAGATCACCCCAACTGTTCGGCAAAAAGTCCAGTCGCAGGGATTTTCAGGGGTTAATTAATGTTCGAAAGGGTCAAGCTACGAGTGCCCCAAGTGAGCTGCGGCCCGAAGAGAACATATAGATTCCTGATGCACTCCCTGAAAGCCCCCGGCTGTCCACTTCCATGATTGTTTCAAGTATTTCCCGGGCTGTGAGATAACTGCGGGGATACAATCTAAGTGGAATCAGCGAGGACAGTGAATCACCTCCAAAAACACTGGCATCGCCCTTGTTAAGGCTGTTAAGGTAAGGGGCATGCACAGCCCCAAAAGAAACACGCGTCCTGCACCTACCAATAGAAGTTTTTCTGCAAACCGCGTGAATTGCAAAGGCCAAGAACAAGACCAAACTGGATTGAATCTCCTAGAGAGTTCAAGCTGGCCAGGAAAGTGGGGTCGCTAGGCATGTAAAGGCAGGCTCAGGGGTCTGAGCCTGGCTCAGCCTCCTGCTTTCCACAGGGGTCTCAAATGGTCTCAGCCTCCTGCTCCAACACCAGAACCAACTGACCAAATGCCTTTTGCACGCCAGTGTGGGCGTGTCTGTGCTGAGCGTTGCTCACCTTTTTCCCAGCATTTTTTGACTGCAGTAGGTAGGATTCTACCATAGTCCACTGGAACGTATTCCACTCCAACTGTTTCATTCCCCATGAATCCGCTCTTTCTTCGATTTTTTGTTATCTCTCTCTCTCTCTCTCTCTTCCTCTCTTTCTCTCCCTGTCTTTGAGTGTGAGAGAATCCTCACCCCACCCTATGAGGACGCAGCTGCTTGGTAGCCATCCTGCCACTCGGTCGACACCGCGGAATGCGCCTGGCAACAAACTAGGCTCTTGTCAGTCGACCGACTCCCAGCCAGACTGGGTACCTCAGATAACCCAGACGCTCATGGACCCTCCTAAGTAGGGGTCCGGACCCTCAAATCCCTAGGGTTTTGAGGGACCAGTCGAGCTGTTTGGAGCGTCTGGGAACAATATCTCTCTCTCTATGTATGTATATCCTGGGATTCTTGGCCGAACTTTGTTTTTCATGGTCTTTGTTCAAAGAACTCTTGTTTTACTGGGACCTTTTTTTGGACTGAGATCAACCCGATCAACCAATCTTTATGTTCATTGCATGGTCTTTGAAATGTCTTTGAAGGCTAGGGTGTATACTGTACATTTATAGCAGCACCCTCCAACATGTCACCACCTGCTACTCTTAAGTCTGCAAACGCCACAGGGGAGACCTTTTGGAGGGTCCTAGGTCCTGGGACATGTGTATAAGTTCTCTATATACTGGCACACATTTGGAGCAAAATGTATCATGATGCTTCATGTCGAACTTCCACGAATTTCTGGCATAATGCCGGAAGGAACATGTCCGGGTCCAGAGTCCAGACCCAACACCACTCCAACTACTGTAACTAGAATTGCAGCCCGGGCTGCTGTGTTCTGAGTTCCCCTTTTTCAGACCCTTCGCCAAGGGCGTCGTCGGCAGCACCCTGGAGCGTTCGCCATAAGCGATCATCAGCATCTGCTCTTTTGGCTCCCACATCATCCCGCAAGTCGCCGCGTAGCATCAACACGGCAGTCGCCTCACCTCAGTCGGACACAGGAAATGCCCGGCGGCCGGAGCAGTTGAGATGTACACCAAGAGAAAAACAATGAAACACATGTCGGGGTGGCTCTTGGAAGCCAAGTGAGTGGATGTGACAGGGGCACCCATGTCCGCCATGTCCTTGGAACTGGTGGCTCCCCCCCCGCTTTCCCGGCAAGGCGAGCCACCCTTTTTCCACTATATAGTTCTCGCATACCAAAACCACGTCTTCTGCTAGGGAACACCAGGTTTTAGATTGACCATGTGGGGCCCCTGGTGCCCCGTTGGATGGCAAACCAGGTAGGTCACCCATCTTCGACGGCGCACCTCCGCAGAGTGCTGAACCGCAGACCGAACGAGGGCCCTGCTGGTATACCTAGATCTTCCAACTACCTTGAGTCTCCAAAGACCTTTTTTTTCTGCGTTTTTGTTTTTGGTCTAATATTTTTAAAGACTCAAGGTACCTAGCACTTCCAGTCCGAGTGCCCTGGAGTAGGAGACCTGTTTGCGTAGGGTAGTCGAACGCCAGGACACCCAGACAGGATGACCCTGGTATGCCACACTTATTCAACATGTACCTCACTTTACGCCTCTTAAATCCTTTTCATCTACAAAAACCCGCCAAGCTAGGCGAACCTTTTGCATAGTTGGGAGATCCAGGTATAGGTTGCAGGCCTTGTTCGACAAGGCAAGTGATTTGCTTGTGAAACTTGTCGGCTCAACAGGGCCGGCCGGCGGCCTCAGGATCGGATCTGGTGAAGTAAGGTACTATCAAACCCTAATTAGGGGTCCAGTCGTACCTTCTCAGGTATGGTGATGTGTTCGACACTGTTATGTAGGCGCCAGGAGGGTCCAGTCGTACCGAACCTGAGAGGGTACGACTGGACAACTCCATTGGTTTAATGGCTTGAATCACCGAACAACCCGTGTTTGACGATTTTGAGACTACAAAACCAACGCAAGCATACTCAAGGCTGCCTTAAAAAGAAAACAAAACCAGCAAACACCTTCACTACCTATAGCAAACTGCCATTCAACACCTTTCTTTGGCCATGGAATTCCTCCTTTTCAATCCTTTTCACCCCATTTCGTCACGGTTTCGCCCCTTCCCCCCCGTTCACCCACACCCCACGGGTTCAACGCCACCTCGACGGCCGTCTGTACCGGCATCAAGGTCCGACCGAGGACTTTGTGAACACCGCACCGCACCCCAGGGGGGGTCGGCACCTCCGCAGCAGCGGCACTTCGGAGAAGCAGCGCCGGGCCACGCCGTCCTCGACGACGACCGGAGACGCCGACCGCGGTCCATCCGTCCGTGCTGCCGGTGAACCGGGGCGCCGCCGGTGAACCGGGTCCGTTCGCGCGCGCGGGGGGGCGACTGGACATGGAACCAGGTTTTGCACTCTGACTGGGGGAGAGGTGCAATGGAATAGTTCCTCAAGAACATCTTCAAACCACAGTTTTGTAGGCCATATATTCCATGAATGATCTTGAAAATGGAACATGACAGCAATGGATTACATACTCTGGCACCGAGTATGCACACATGTACTGGCTTAGTTCGGAGGTCAGTACAGCTCAAAGGAAACCCCCGCTGCCAGAGTGGAAGGGTCTGTGAGATGGGTGCTGCAGAGCACCCAGTCCAGTCCAAAGCATCACCTCACAGGACCTTGACCGGTCCGTCCTTTGCTGGATGGACCGGAAGAACGCACTCATCCGGACCGCCCTGGCACCCGGTTTCCATCCAGTGGACACCTTCACCCGGACACGACCCGTCTGGGGCCAGTTCCGGACTGCCGATCAAGCCAGACCGCCCTGGCACGTGCCCCAATGCAGTCCGGACTGGCAGTCCCAGACGGGTCGTGTCTGGACACCATGCTGGAAGCATCCGTTTCGAATGTCTCGGATCTGGATCATTCCTGGCCATGAATGGTCTCTTCTACGGGACACACATGATAAAACATGGCCATCCTTGACATTGATACCTAGCACTTCCAGACAAAAACCCCTTGGATGACCCTGGTAAGTGCCATTTGGTGAATTCTGCCATCCATACATCTCCATCCTACGCTGGTCCCACCGACCGTCCGGTATACCGAGCTGATCGACTGGCCAACAGAGCTGCACCGAAAACACCCAAACCACACGGATGGAGGGTCCAGACCCCTCCCAGGGTCAGAGCCCAAGGGTTCTCTGAAAGACCCAGGACCCAATTCAGAAGAGGTCTTCTTATTTTCGGGTGTTCTTGGGCCTTAACAGGTTTCCATCTGTGACCTGTTGGAGGGTGCAGGTGGAGGAATTAATCTTCTACCTGGATCTACCTGGCATCCCCCAAAAGTGATAACTGTCACTTCCAATTGAAAATATCAATCTTTGGGGAAGTGAGGTGACAAAAAGCACTCAGGAGTGAGAATAGTTTCTCCAGAACGGAGGAAAGAACTGCTGTGCAGCATGTCTTGCAAGCAAAACGAACATAAATTGAACGCACTGTGAACGCAGTCGGAACGCAATTACAGATTGAACTGATCTTTTCCACTCCTGAGTGCTTCTTGTCACACCACTTTCCAAAATAGATTGATCATGTCATATACCGAATCCGGGCCTGCCTACATGCGTACTTTGAGGTGCCCGGACCCGACCCCTATGGAGACTCCGACCCCTGCCGAACCATGGAGTGGGTGGACCCGGTCTCCGCCGTCGCGCCCTCTGCGTCACAGACCCACCGAACGCCACGGACCCACGTCCCCCGGCGTGACGCAGATGTGAGTTGGTCGCATCATGAATGTCAAAACGTCAAAACTTGTGGCGATCAAGTCCGCCCAATTTTTTTTGGAGCACAACGACCATGACATGGGCTTATTGCGATGGTTCGTTTGGGCGCGTGCTTCGTAAAGACGGTTCTTTTTTCCAGGACCGTCCTGAGGTTATCGCTCTGGAAATAGAAAATCTTCAAGTCGCCGCAGCTCTGAGGAGACACTCTGAACGCAAGGGGGGGGAACGGACCCGAACCAAACCCTTTCCGTTCGAGAAGGGCCCGGAGTCTTACAGGGCAATATGACCTCCCGGCCCAAATGTGGGCCGACTGTATGTGATTTAATTTCCCATCGACCAGGGAGATCCATGTCCTCAGAAGGTGGTTGGACACCCCTGGCACCCACCTCAACGATCTCAAGCCGATTCACACCAGGACACCCCCAGCTCCGAGGAGATCTTGCGCAGCAAGCGCCGCTTCTCCTGAGACAGCGCCGAGGCGGAAAAGGAGCGGACGAAGTCTGACGCTGGTTGCCTGTACCAGGACACACTAGGAAGGGGCACCTAACAGAAGGAGCTATCAATAGCAGGGGGTCCTGGTAGTAGCCTATAAGGATTACCCTAAGAATCCGGACCCTCAAACAGATAGGGTTTTGAGGGTCCAAACCCCTGCTATGGAGGGTCCGACCCCTGCCATGGAGAGCCCAAGGATTCTTAGGGTATAGTGAATTGAATTGAAAGAGCTAGATCCAGTGAATTGAAAGAGCTAGAGGGTTTTGGTTGGAACATTCGTTGACCATGGGGGCACTTGTGGAGAGGTATGGGGCACAACAGGAGTCATGGCATCAACTCAGTGTCCTGCAAAACGCTACCAAACGCACTGCAAAAGAACCAAGGCCTGGGAAACGGTGTCTGGCCTTCTCAAGATTTCTCAAGTAGCTTTGCATCCAAAACAGAATAACACCGCAATCAATCACATCCGAAAGGGAACACAAAAAATAGCGCTTTCCTGCTTTGGACGCACGCCGAAAACCCATTCTTCGCCAGTTGCAGTGACACAGTTCTCCGCATTCCCCAGTTCTCTCCGACCAGTTCTCTGGTTCCCTCTTTCCACGAAATACAGCGGCACGGCACATGCCTCTCCACATCACCCCTTTGCATGAGATTGATTAGCCATAGGCCATAGGCTACAGGCCATAGGTCCGACCCTAAGAGTGACAAGTCCGACCCTGACGACACAGACCCACTAGACATATACCGGGTGCCCTGGAGGTCTGGAAACCTGGACGTGACGTAGAATTCAGGTGTGTTCTTCACGCCACGCATGTCCAGGATGATTTAGACACACATGTGCCAGGACCTTCCAGTCGAGGTGTCTATCAACAGCCTTAGAGGTGATTCGGGGTGCCCCAAAACCACCGGGCTTGGAAGGTCCTGGTGTGTGTGTGTGTTGCCATGGACCCCGGCCGCAAACCAAACCGATGTCTCCGCTGCCGGTGGGCCGATTCCGGCTCCGTCGCAGGACTCGTCTGCCGGACGGCCGAGTTGGCCGGTGCGGCGTTGGGGGGGGGCCAATCTATATAGGCCAATGTGGATTCCAAGAGAGGTAGCCAGTGACCTGAACTAGGACCCTATGGTCCTATGGTATAGTACCTATCGTTCTATAGCTATAGTAGTGGTACCCAACTTGGTATAGTCTAGTCTAGTTTGGGTCCTTCAACCTCTGTTGCTTCTGAGGGCCGACTCCAGGTCCCAACCCTCCTCGATGAGGCATCGGTATTGGACCAGGTGCTCCTGGGTCACCGTCCTGCGGTCACCACCGGTCTCTGTGGGTTCCATGGGGTCAGTCGTTTGAAGTTGGCGAAGTTGGAATCTACTGAAGTGGGCGTGGAATCGAGTCGGAATGGGACCGGTGAGTTGCTCTCATACGTCGCTACTTACGTCGCAAGTGTTGCCTGCCTTCAGCACCACGAAAGACCAAGATCAAGAAGCATGACCATCACGAGGATATGGTGCTTAGGGGTTAGATGGGATTAGACGCTTGGAATCCCTGATTCAATGACATGCCAAAGCAACTCACACAGCACACACACGCACATGAACCAAACAAGTTAGTTAGATCATGCTAGATCAAAGAAGAGAGAAAGGGGCCAAGGCACCCGTTTGCTGGGCACCCCCATGTCTAAAGAATTAGATTATTTACCAAAAGTCTTCATGATTTTACATGCACAAATATGCACTCCAACGGACGCCAACACAAATTGTTGATGAGTTGGAGCCCTTCCCCTGCAACATTCTGAAGCAACACAACGCAAACCGACACCGTTGATCTATTTGGGCCTTACGGGTTTTCTTCGGTCCACGAGTAGCTACCGATCAAGGAGAAGTGAATGCACAACCCTCCAAGTCAATGCAACTGTAACACCCATATCAGCATGCTTTCAGGCTGCTTTCACCATATATAAGCAGGCTATATCAGTAGCACAGTGACAACTCACACCTATATCAGCATGACTATCAGCATGCTTTCAGGCTCCCCTGCCCACCTTCACCCCACGTGCCGCCTTGGCGGTACCACAGCTTTCGCCGTCGCCCTGTTCGTCGTCAACGTCTGGCGCCCCGCAGCATCGCGCATCTCCCGCGCGGGAGATGCGCGGAAGCGAGCGTCCGGAGACAGCCTGAGGCGTCCAATCTGGAGACATCCCACCAAAACATGGCTCGCCTTCATCCTGGTCGCGTCTTGTCTTCTCCCATCTTTGCTCACCTTGTCTGGCATTTGGTCCGGTTCGGCTCGGCACCAACGGCGCCTCTGACCCCTCTGATCGTCCAGGCGCTCGCCATGCGTGGCGCCACTGACGTCGGCCGCCGAGGTCGGCGGCGAGCAGGGGCGAGGAGGCGGAGCAAAGTGGCCTAAGAAGGCAGAAGGGGTCACAACATTTGGGTCATCTGAATGGATCTGAAGGGTTGGTTTCTGATGGTTTCTGCATGTTTCTGCGTTTCACCATGTTTCACCTCTAGGTCCGTGAAGGCACCCAGTTCTGGCGGGTTTCCCCACGACCCACCGCTCGGTGGTGCAGCTGCAACTGCAATCGACCACCCCGCCCGCGCTAACCGAAGAGACCCACATTGGAACCTGAAGAGATGGACCAGACTGGAAGACGATTTGCTGCAACCCGTGGTTTTTCAGGTTCCATAGTTCATTTTTCGGTGTCACTTTTTTGCCACTGTTCTAGCACTTCCTGGACCCGGTCCAAAGTCGCTGGGGAAGAATGATGCACAAGTCCAATAACCTCTCATGGACCCTGCGAAGTAGGGGCCGGACCCGAATCCTCTGGAGGGGTCCGGACCCTCAAATCCCTAGGGTTTTGAGGGACCAGTCGAGCTGTTTGGAGCGTCTGGGAAGTACAATAACCTCTCCAATCGATCTCCCACACAACTTCCCCTAGGGCTCCAGTCGTACCTTCTGAGAAGGTGGGACTGGGGTGGGTGCCAGGAGGGTCCAGTCATACCGAACCTGAGGAGGCACGACTGGAGCCCTAGGGTTCCTAAGTTCCTCATGAATCACGCAAGCTTGGGCGGGACAACCCTCCGATGAAATGGTCTTCCAATATCACTGCCGGCTGCCCGTGCTCCCTGGGCTTCTATCGAGCATACCAGCATACCTAGCGAAACCCCAAAGATCCCGAAGCCACTCCTCCAGCTGATGGAGCTTCACCAAGACGTCGTTTCAATATCCAATACACCCTAGCACTACCCTAGCCTTTAGCGAAGACCAGATTGAAAGAATAATAGTGTGTTCTTTTTCCTTGGTACTGTCATGTAAAAACCCTTAGTAAAACAGCTCGGCGGTTCAGTAAAAACCATTAACAACATGTTGGGCCAGGAAGCCTAGGGTATACCTGGACCATCCTGTCACCTTCCGGAACCTTCAACTCCGTCTCCCCTGGCATCACCGATTAGGAGGCAACCACCAGTTCTACAAGAAACCACCCCTAAAGGCCCCCCAACAACCTGAAAACACACTATGACATCTAGACTCCCCAAAAACTCTGTGGGGCTGACATATCTACCGAAGCTTACATTGTGCTGTGGTTTCAAAAGTTTCGGGAGCATATTAGGACCTGACACATCAATGGACTCTGTGTCGCAAGTGCCTTCTCTGAGTGTGACTTTGAGATGTTCTATGCACCATGCCGTCCGAAGTGCCCATGCACCGGTTCTGAACGGTTCCGCCCTCTCCCTCCTCTCAAACGCTGCTCCCAGGCCACTGGGCCGTACCGCCGAGCGCTGCGTACCGCCGCGCGGTGCTGGAGTGCTGGTGGGCGGGCGTTCTGCGATCGGTCGCGCGGGCTCGAGGCGAACAAAGCGAGCGCATCCCTACAGTGTCGGCCCTACAGTTGGACCTCAATGAACTACTGGACTTGCTTCTGTAAGGACCCACACCACAGTCCAGACCACAGTGTGGCCCTAGCTCACCCCCTTAACTGATCTTAACTCCAGGGGTGGGGTTGGCCAAAGTGAAGAACAGGCTGTTTAGGTCTTCTGCTTCAGATCTCTACCATCAACTCTGGCACAACTTCAAGAATTTTCGAGTAGAGTAAATTGTCACCATTGACCTGCAGTTCTGATAGTCTCATCGCCATGGCCATTCTAAGCTGATGCACAAACACTCCAAGCTTGATCGTAGCTCATTCTTGATCGTTGCTTCTCCAACATCCGCACGGTCTCGCGCAGAACATCCTCAGTGAGACTGAACATGATGCCTCTCCACGTGTTCTGGCCGCTGCAAAACCCATCACCTCACCCGTGCCCAGCCAGCCCAAACCTGCTCACCAAACCTGCTCACCTCGTCCTTCTCTTCCGGCACCCGCGCCCTCGCTGGTGGACCGGCGCAGGCTACTGCAGGTGGACCTGCGAAGCGGGAACTGAGGTGACTCATAGCCCCAAACTGCACGGATTACACTCCCGAAAACTCACATGGAACCTGCAGAGATGGACCAGACTGGAAGACGATTTTCCTCTACAACCCGTGGTTTTTCAGGTTCCATCTCAAATCTTCCCGAGCGTAAGGGGGATTGCAATGGAATTGCCCAGACGCTCCGTTCACAGGCCGGTCCCTCAAATCCGGGATTGGTTCGGGTCCGGACCCCTGACCCCAGGATTCGGGTCCGGTCCCGGTCCCTGAACGGAGGGTCCAGACCGGTCGCGTCATGTACACACCGAAGTCAACTGGCCAGGGGCCCGAAGGTTCGCTGCTTGGACTCCTGTCGCTCGGACTGTGGGGCGGGCGGGCTTCCGTCCGGTGACTGGGCCGATGTCGTGGTTCGGTGCCGATGTCGGTGATCACACAGGAATCGAACCACCGACACTTAGTCCAGTCGCCACCCCAAGTGTCCATGATTAAGAAGAGACGACCGACGTCTGATGACCTAGTTCTATCCTGAGATGTTCGTCAGACCGTTCACAAGTTTGACGACTTAGCCGATATCTATATATTTGTACATGCACAATGTAGAACTCCAAAACATCAGTCCTTCCAAGGAATGATGACGAACATATTCAGATGTAGGTCATGGTCAAGTTTTCTGCAAAAAACACATCTCCGTCCGTGACGGCCAAGCTCTCTCATTTTCCCAGCGTGGCTAGGTTTGCAGTGTTCGCAGCCTTGCCGTGTTTTTGGGCGTACATCACAAGCACGAGTCGAAGTGGTCCAATCCTCCAGCTTTAGAGTGCCCAAAAGCCTCTGAACCGGGTTTCCTGCTCGTAATGATCTGGATCATGAGTGAAAGGCCTTCCCATTTCCACAAAGCCATCAATCCCCCCTGAGCGCACGTCAAACGACAAGAGGTCGCGCAGCTCCAGGAAACGTATGAACTTGGGCCGGAGCCGCTGAAAGAACACATAGGCCTCCTCTTTCCAAGTCTTCCCCACGCAAATGGTTTTCGGCATAGGATCCAACTTGAAGCTGATTGGCACTTCTTCCTCCGACTCGGCGGCCGACTCGAGAGTGGAGACCACTTTTTTCACATAGTCCTCGATCAAGAACAGCAAGGCGGTCAAGTTCTCTCCACTGCCGAAGCGGTTGAGCTCCTCCAAGCGCTCCGGGTTCAGTTTCTCGTCCGTCAGCAGGCGCTCCATGTCTGTCATGGCCGCAGCGAGCAGCACCGAGATCACACTGGCGAGCTCTTCAGGCAAGTAGCCGATGGAGAAGGCGGTGAATTCACGCACCGACTCTAAGAGGCTTGAACCCTCACGGTAGAAACTCAGCACAGTCACCACGGCAATCTCAATGTCAGCTCTCAATCCTCGATGGTAGTCAATTCCGCTGCCAGGGAGGCTCATCAAGAGCGCCATCTCCAATTGCGACACGTTGAAGTTGGCACCACCCTTGGGCACAAAGCGCTGAAATTCTGAAGGGCACGGCTTTTCAATGTCAAAGATGTGCCACCACTCCACCCATACCAATGTGAGAGACTCGTCTTGGACCTCCACTAACTCGTCTTCCAACAAAGAACCATCCTCACGAGAGAAAATCGGTAGGCTGCTGTCAGGCCTAGTTCCCACCTTGGATCGCAACTCTGAGAGGGTCAGGCCGCACTCTGTTTGGAGAACCTGCTCCCCTGAAGACAAGAACACATTGACTCCCATCTTCGGCTGGCGCCCATCCGAACACCCGGCCGGCGCGTTGGCGCGGCCTCTATGCGCTTGAAACAGTCTGAGCCCATGGAGCCCTTGGAGTCAGCCTTGATCACATGACCCCCGGATCCCAACGGAAATCCAGTGCCAACCAGTCAGAAAGAAGTCTGGAATCTTTCCCCAGTCCCAGCCACTTCTTAATGTCATGCATAAAAAAACATTTCTGGTCTTGGTCAATGGTCTTCAGGTTGCCCAAAAAATGAATTTACACTTTGGTCCGAACCCAACTGGACTGGGACTTCTATACCAGGACCTTCCAAGAGGTGTCTATAAACAGCCTCTTAGAGGTCAAGGGGTGCCCAAAAAACAATTTTTTTTGGAGAACCCTGCTTGGGACTGGGTTTTCACGTCGCTGTCGCCGCCCGCACCACCGCGGACCGCGCCTGGCATAGTTCGCCGGACCGACCGTGGCGTATCCGCCACGTCCGCCGTTCGGCGCGGCGTCCAGCCGCGGCGCGGCGTTCAGCCGCGGCACGTGGGAGCTGCGGGAGCTACCTCTCAAGTGGAGAGGTTGAGCGTCCAAAGTGACCTGGGCCGGTGTGTGGAACGCATGGCCGGTGTGTCTTTTTGGGCTGCTGGGTGGTCTTTTTGGGGTGATCTCGGGCCCTGGTGGGGTGAAAGGAACATCTTACAAAAGCGAGGGTGGAAGGCTGTGGGCAAGAACCACTGCAGGTGGAAACAGTGGAAGAAACTCCCAGGAGGGAGAGGGAGTTCAGCTAAAGTTTTTTTTCTATCCAGTCCAGAGCATGAGTAAAACAAAATGGGCATCAAGATTAAGTTAATTAACGCCAGCATGTGTCAAATCCCATGGAGCCTCTACCCAGCCCAAGCAACCCTTCACCTTGGAGGAGGAGAGAACAAAAAGAAAACATTACATTAAAAAAAATGGATAGCCCTGACCTTCTGAAATGAGGGTGAAGATGTGCACCAACGCGTTGCAGGATGTTGCAGGCGCAGGCGGGATTCATTCCTCTACTCTATAGGATCCTTTTAATACTAACCCCGAAACTTCCAATGACTCATCTGACCCCACCTGAAAAGTCATACTCTAAATGTCCATTGAGTTATGACCGGACTGTCAGGCTCCAACTCTTCACTTGTTCACCGACCCGGTCCGCGATCTTCTCCCCCAACCGCCCGACCCCAAAGGCCCCCAAACCCCGAACCCATTGGTCGATGTTCGCCGAGGTGCTAAGCTGGGAAAGAGATGTCGCAGCGTCGAGAGCAGTGCACGAGCCTCACCCTTTGCCTCAGGCGCTGCGGGCGCAATGCGAACTCCGCACGAGACATGTCCGAAGGGCGGGCTGATGGAGGGCCGAGAGACGCAATGGGTGGGAGACATAGATCTGACCCTAAGAATCCGGACCCTCAAACAGATAGGGTTTGAGGGTCCAAACCCCTGCTGCTGCTATGGAGGGTCCGACCCCTGCCATAGAGAGCCCAAGGATTCTTAGGGGAGATATAGACTGACACCCAAACGCGAAGTCTGGCCCCGAATCCTCTGGAGGGGTCGGACCCGAATCCTCGGGTCAGAGGTCTGGGGTTTCTCACCATCGGTTTGGTTCGGGACCAGTCGGGCGTCGTTCACGGAGCGTCTGGGTATGTACGGTGCTTATTCCAACACCGGCTTCCCCACAAAAACAGAACCGTGGTGGTGGTGGGTTCCGCAAACATCGGAGGTGCTGATCTGGGAATTTGATGGAATTTGATGGCTTTTGCTCCTTAGCTTGGGCATATCCCACTACCAGTTTCAGTGGATGATGATGGCTGGTAAAGGCCAACATCAGCCAACTTGTTTATCGACTGTTGCGGAACATGAAAACGGAATCTGAAAACCACCGGTTTGTGGAGGAAGCCAGCTAGTTTCCCACAGATCCATGACATCCAGGTCTCTACACCCAGGTCTCCAGTTGGTCCTGGAACATGCCCCGTTGGTCGAATAGAAACGCCCCGTTTGCGAGGAACGCAGGATCACTGCTTACCCATTCAGTTGGCCAAACACTCCATGGGACTGGCATATGCTCCATACATTGACCCCTCTGGCACCACCCCTGGCCTGATCGGCATATATGGCAGTCCCATGGAGTGTCTGGGCATTCCCTTCGAAACCGGCGATTCGCCGGCGCTTCGCGACGTCCGGGCCACGAGCGGGTTTCCTTTCACATGCAGATCTTTCAGCTGCGCACAGGCCGCCAAGGGTCGCAAGCTTCGCCTGAGGAAAAAACCGGTCCGTTTAGTAGAGGTGTTTGTGTGTGTGATCTCTTTTTGGGGGGGCGAATCACTGTGAAGCAGGCTTTTGAGGGGCTGATGAAATCGCGGGGGAAGTGCTTGCTGAAGGAATACGATATAAACAACACTCCCAAGGACCAAAAGAAGTCCCAAAAGGCCACAATAACCCTCAACAACCACCCGAACCGTTACAATGCCACCTCCACTTGGAACCCTGCCGGGTCCGGTGCCGAACTCGTCCTGACTCGCTGGTGAACGGAGCCCGGACTCCGTTTGGAGCCCGAACTCGTCCTTGTCACTTGGATTAACGGAAGAACCACGGATACCCCGCGCCCAGCGCGGAACCTGCGTCTTCTTTCCGAATGGATGCCGTGGCGGTGCCGCCGCGGCGGCATCCAACCGATGTCGCTGGGACGTCCCAGTCCCAGTCCCACGACGAAGGGGACTGCCACTGGCGCCGTTCAACTGATCGGCGGAGTGGCTCGCCCGTTCGACGAGCTCGCCAGTTCGACCGGTGACCCGTTCGGGCCCCTGGTTCCTTACTACGTGATTTTGCCTGGGATCCACTGGGGTGTATATCATTGGAACGAAGAAGGGTATGAACACTGTGTATTCCAAACCTGCAACGCAAAGAAGGAGTCAAAACATACCCAAAATGGATCAAAACGGGTTGTAGCCATGTCTGTGTACTCCAAACACTATTGACAGGCATAGCGGCATAATGTGGCATCGCGTACTTAATTACATGTGGCTGAAAATGGGCCAATGCCCAAACACTCCATGTATGAAAGATGTGCCTACATTGGCCCCTGAAAATGTATGCAAATATGCCAGTCCCATGGCGTGTCTGGGCTGGAATGGACCCTAGAAAGCATGGCCTCCACTGAGGCCATGACAAACGAGTACCTTGGCCAAGAAAACCACACCCAAATGCACTGCCACGGGACTGCCACATGTGCCAGTTGGGGTGGCAAATCTTATAGTCTCATGGGGGCGTGTATGGGATAGATGTTGAGCTTCGCGAGCCGAGATAGAGCAAGGTCTTGGGTCGTTGCTGCTGGTGAACACGCTGTCCCAGGTTGAAACCGGTCGAGGTCGGTTTTTCCTGGCCCACCTGGCGGTTCCTTTTCTGTACCACTGCCCATGCTTGGTCACGCTCCCCATCCTGCATGCTTTTCTTCCAATCCCCAGCCTAAGACCTTCATTGTTCCTGTAGACCCCTTCAGGGACACATCGTATCCCATGGAACGAGGTGCATCTGCACCCGAGATGGATTAAACATAGTCAAATCAACCCCTCTCCAAGCAAAAGGTGCCTATATATAGCTAGAATCCAAACATAACCCTGGTTGTTATTGGAAAAGGCCCTAGTTTGGGCGGTTGATGGTCCAAACTGGAGGTCATTCAGGTAGCTAGATCTATTAGCTCCTGCCATTTTCTCCAGCTCACGCGCCCGTTCAGTTAAGCGACTGGATGGAGGTCAAAGAGTTCTCAGAGAGATCCAGCACCTCGGCTGGAGAAGTTGCAAGAATGTTTGGGCTCCTGGCACCCGCATCCGACAAGGTTCAAACTTTGACCAACGAATGCACTGGGAAGATCACGTTCAACGAATTGAAGCGAAATTGACCCTATTTGACCCTCTTACGTGATCATTCAGTCTCCTTCAAATGTACAAGCCTTCCGTGAAAGGTTTATTGCTGCGCCGCAAGCAGTACAGGGTAATTGAATCTAATCTGCTCTGAGGTGTTTGGGATCACAAAATCTTCGAGCTCTCTTCCTGCCATCTCAACTCTACCAAGAGAGGTTGAGAGGTCGCTTCACGTTCGGACCCCATAGTGGTACGTTATGGGATGGGCGACCAGACAGGGCTGTTCAACCTCTCTTGCTAGCTCCTGCGCGCGCGCCCACCATCGATCCCTCCACCAACGTTCTGGTCGAAGCCAGACCGGTCTTGGGACTGGAACAGGTACATGCGTTAATACAAGACCTGGAACCCCAGTCCCAACCAGAAAGAAATGGTTGTTCCAATATGGCTTGCTTGAAATGCTTTACAATAGGAAATGGATGGGACTGGGGAAACATCCATTTCTTTCTGGTTGTTTGGGGTTTCAGGAGGATGAACATGACCCAATTCATGCAAGTAATACACTGCAACTATTCCATACATGATGGATGGTTTGGAGAAGGAATATATTTGATGGTGAGGATGAACTGCTATTTTCCTTCGTCCCCTCGAAATGTTTAACACCTCTCTTGGGAACATCCTCCATGTGCTACGCATTGCTACGCCATCCGAAACACAAAGCACCATACTTACCCGGCTGGAGTCATCTGCGTAAGTAACCCCTTTTTGTGAAGCCAGAGCCCTTGAAGTTCTAAAACCGAGGCTCTTGAAGTTCTAAGAGCATCTCCAGTTCCTCCGTGCTCTTCAATTCATTCCGCGCCAGGTGCACCTGTGCGTCTAGTTCTGTGCCCCATGCATCGTCGGCCGGGCGACTGGGCGACTTGGAGGTCTAGGAGTCGACTCGACTGGTAGCCACTGGTGAGACGGACCGGTTGGTGAGACGGCCCTGTCGGTGAACATGCAATGGTTCGTCCGTCAGGCCTGACGGAGTTGTGTGTTGCAGTCACTTTGCTACATGCTAGCTTAGCCCAGGCACCATGGAAACGCGTCGCTTTTGGACCACCATGGGCTGTGGGTCCAAAACCAGCACACCTTGCTTGACGGTCACCGGTCAAGGTCAACCTCCCGTCTGACCACATCCCAGCCACATAGCCACCGCCGGGTCAGCGTTCGTGGGCCTCACGGAGTTTCCGACAGTGGCGGATCCCTTGGGACGAGCGCAGGTGGTTCGAGTTGACTCGCAGCTCTGACAGCTGCGGCGGCAGCTGCGGCAGGCGTGCCAGGCGGCAGGACGACAGGTCCAGGTGGGTCAGCCTCGGTGGGGGGTAGGAACGTCAGGTGGCGCAGGACGGCGAAGGTCAGTGGGCCCACCTCGACCTGTTCCTGAAGTGGGGGAACAAGATCGATCCTGCCCCAAAAAAACGGATACTCCTTGTGGGACGTAGCATGGAAGTGGAAAACGGTTTGTAGAGGAAAATGGCCTTCCAAGAGGCCATGGTCCACTTCCATGTGAGTTCCGAGGAGTGTACGATTCCGAGGACGAGGACGCTTTCGCTCGCTGGCACCCCACATGCGTCCCTTTTCGCTCGCTCGACGTGTCCTTGTCGGTCTCCGGAAAGAAAGGGTCAACACAGGTGGAGGTTGGTGACATGCACTCGAAAAAAGGCTCGCAGAGGTCACGAAGCTCCTGGCACTGAACATGACCCAGGAGCGCTACGCTCCCAAGCAGCTACTGCCTCTTGGAAGGTAGGGGGGCCCCCAGAACATCGGGACATAGAACTCTGGGCTTTCAATTTGCCATTGAATCGCTCTCATTGGACACCCCAAATTGGAAGACACATGAAGACACTAGGTGTTGAATTCCTTTTGCCTGTCAGTGCTCAATCTGCTAAAGGTTTGGCTCCATTCATGGTCATGTTCGACCTAAATCCTGAAATCAAAGAACGTCCAAAACGTCCTTGAAACGGATGGACGGCACCCAATCGGCCAAGACGGATCGAGTGCTCAGGTCGCCGCTGCTTCAACTTGGCCAAATGCACATGGACCAGCTGCTCTGGATCTTGCCTCAGAACTTCCGGGACTTGACGAAAATGAACTTCCCCACCTGGAAGTGAACTACCCCGCGAGTGAACGACCCCTGGGAGTGGACGACCATCCACCTACCTTTCAAAGGACACGCACCGAAGAAAATGGGCTGGGACATCACAGCATCACTGCATCTGCACGTCCAACGAGCCGGTCGTGCATGACGAAAGCAGCGTTCAAACGGCGTCACGCAGGGTCACCTGCCGGTGACGCTTCACCCGCTTGGGTGCCGGCATGGGTGGCATGGGGGCATGGAGTCGGAGTCCCTGCAAGCTGTGGATCCAGTGGATCCACTGTAAACTCGTAAACTCCATGAAACTCCAAGACTCCCTGAAACTGCCATATTAACTTACCCACCCGGGCTCCAGTCGTGCCTCCTCAGGTTCGGTATGACTGGACCCTCCTGGCACCCACCCCAGTCCCACCTTCAAAACGAAGGTACGACTGGAGCCCTAGGGATACATTGGAGTGGGTTTTTCACGCCGAGTCTGTAGTCCCAGAAAGGTCGTGTGGATGTGTTCATGACGGGTCCCCATGGGGCGTGACCTGCCAGAATCGAAAGGCCCTGGGTGGATGAACATTGGTGAAAGGTAACGGGCGGGACTGTCTCTGTGAGAGGTGGCGTATTAGGGTGTTTGACATCATAAAACGTCATAAAGAGAAATCATAAATTGCAAGCATTAGGATGGAGAGGAGAAAAAAGTAGAGACCACATGAGACCACACATTTGAGGTGACCTGGGTACACAACCACAAGAAGTAAAGGATCGCTTGGTACAAGGATCGCTTGGCCTCCTCCACCCAACCGCGCCACAAAAAAAAAGTGCCTGTGAGTGTGTTCATTGTTTCCTTGTTTTCAGCTGCGCGAGAAGCCCCTTGGCAAACATCAGCACTTGGAGCTAAAAGCTATCGTGGACTCCCCATGGTGTTTCGGTGGCACTTTCCGGAGCATGAGATTCTCAAGCGCCCAAACCGCTGCAATGTGCAAAAGCACTTTCTCCAATCTGGGTCACAGTATCCGGGATGGTCAAGTTCACCAAAGAACTGCAATTCTCAAATGCACTGGCCGCAATGTGGGTCACCGAGCTGGGGATGATCAAATTCACCAAGGAAGTGCAGTTTTGAAAGGCACCACTCTCAATGTGGGTCACGGAGTTCGGGATGGATAAGCTCACCAAAGAGCTGCAGTTTTGAAAGGCATGGTCGCCTATGTGGGTCACGGTTTTTGGGATGATCAAGTTCACCAAAGAGCGGCAACCCTCAAAAGCTCGATGCCCAAGGTGGGTCACCGAGTCTGGGATGGTCAAGTTCGCCAAAGATCTGCAATTCGCAAAGGCCCCAACACCAAGGCTGGTCACTGAGTTTGGGATGGCCAAGTCTACCAAGGAGCTGCAACCCCCCAAACGCGTAATCCCCAATGTGGGTCACTGAATCTGGGATGGTCAAGGTCACCAAAGCGCTGCAACCCTGAAAAGCACAATACCTGATGTGGATCACTGAGTCTGGGATGGTCAAGTTTACCACAGATGTGCAACCCTGAAAGGCATAATACCCGATATGCGTCACAGAGTCCGGGATGGTCAAGTTCACCAAAGAACTGCAATTCCGAAAGGCTACGTTTGAAATGTGAGTCACAGAGTTCGGGATGGTCAAGTTCACTAAAGAGCTGCAGTTCCGAAAGGCCCCACTCCCCATGTGGGTCACTGAGTTGGGGATGATCAACTTCACCAATGAAGTGCAGTTTTGAAAGGCACCACTCTCAATGTGAGTCACGGAGTCAGGGATGGCCAAGTTCACCAAGTTGGTGCAACCCTGAAAGGCGCGACACCCAATGTGAGTGACTGAGTCTGGAATGATCAAGTTGGCCAATCTTTGGCAGTCTTCAAAAGCACTATCAGAAATGGTGGTTTCACCCTCTGGGATTTCAACGACGAGCAAATGGTCCAAGTCAATTTCAGAGCTGGTAATTGCACACCTGCTGGAGCATCTCACACTGTTTTGCTTGAAAACGACGTGTACGTGCAAATCTGCCCCGACATTGGCCACTTTTTCATCATTGCCCAGCAGCCTGTCTCCGACAACAATCTCCACCACAGTAGTTTGGCGAGCAACTTCATCCAATAGTCGTATTTCTTTGATCTGCTGCTTGAGCTCTCTGCCGGTCACCCCTGGTGTGACTTCGACACAAATCATCTCGCCATTAAACTGCAGTGCTGATAGTCTCATCATCGCCATGGCTGATTTGCAAACACTCCATGCACAATCTTAGCTGATCTTGATGTCACATTTCTGCTACACCCATTTCGCTTGGAGGCTGGAACTTCTCAGGTGTGTTCTGGTGGTCCTGCAGGAGCAGTCATGGCAGACTCCAAGGTTTCACCTTCCTTCATTTCAAACGCTCAAGGAGAAACAATTCATCATTGTCTTCTGCTTTTTGGCATGCCCTTTCCTCTCAACATTCTAAATTAACATCTATCAGCGCCCTCCTGGCATGGATACATGTAGCATAACAATAATATGTACTAATATGTATATATCCAATTCGTATAATTGTATAACTTTTATCAATCTGTTCATTCCTCTCTTCCAACACGTGGTCTTAGAACCCTCACAGGTGGTTTCTGGGCGCCTGTTGTCATGTCCGGCGTTTGTGTAACACATGGATCGTCTTTCTACCTCCCCATGTCGTGAGCCAACAAGACACCCGGACGCAGAATTCGTTGGCCAAATTCTTCTATGACATCAGCTGCTTTCTGGCAAGTGCAGCCTCAAGCAAGGTTAGAAACTGAGTGAACCGAAGGTATTTTGTTTTCTGAACTGGAAGATTGCAGGCCATGGGCGATGGCTGGCAGGCCAAGCCTCTTGCTTCAACACCTTCTCCCCCCCCTCTACAGCGGAGACATCGACTTCCGTGTGGCCAGGGATTGCCGCGCAAGGACAGCAGGGTGAGCTGCTTCGGCAAGGCCTCTTGGCGTCCAGTTTGAAGGAAAATAGGGAATCACCTTAAGCAAAGCCAGGAGAATGAACACATATAAGTGTCTAAATAGCTAGGACTCGAACGATGTGACCCATCTGGCAACACCTGCGGGAAGGAAGAACATATATTTCATGGTGTAAGTTGCACGCTGTGCAACATGCTGTGCAGTGTGTTTTTCACTTTTCATGAGTCACGACATGTCGTCGCGACAGTCTTTCGATCACGACTTGATCACCCACTCCACCGACAGAGGGTGGGCTCGAACCGCCAAAAGAGGCACGGGTGCGCGCTTCGTTGCGCTTGCGTCGCGACTCGTCGCTTCGCCTTGTTTTCCCCTTGGTTGTGGACCTCGTGCGCTACAACGACAATTCGACATTGGTAGCGGAGCCCGGGGTGACCTGGGCTCCCTGCCCTGCGCTCTCCGCGACGACTTCCCGAACGCTCGGAAGAAGACCTACGTCAAGGACGGTCCAAGGAGCTCTTTCAGGTTGTCTAGTTCTTTGCTTGGCCTTTTTCATCTGCTACTTCAACACCCCAGCATCCAAGCAGGTCCTAGAAGAGTTCTTTGGCACCATGGCCCAACAGAAGAAGACATCGACGCAGGCATCCGGATCGGGAAGCGCCTCAGGTACCAGCTACCTGGATCTCCGGGACTCCTACGTTCCCGTGTTCAGCGGTCAGCCTAGTGACTACCGCGAATGGCGACAGAGGATTCACCTTTATCATCGAAAGATGTCCATCACCAAACGAGGCAATGAGAGCGTCCTCAACATAGTTGGCAGCTTCACTGGACTCACCTGGCGATTGTTTCAGGATTGGGCACTTGAGGACCTCGAGAAGACCGATGCTTTCCCGAAGATCATTGAGGTCCTCGATTGAAACTTTGCTTACGATGCCCGAGTCCAGCTTCCTGCAGATTTTGAGAGCTACTTCAATTTGTTGCAACGTCAAGGAGGCCAGACCTTGCTCATGTTCATCAACGACCACGAAGAGGCCTACCGCAAGTTGCAGCAACATAAAGTGGAGCTCCCAGCCTCTGTTCAGGGATGGCATCTACTCCGACGTGCCGGGCTATCAAGAGAGCAACGACAGCTCATCACCTTGAAGGCACCTACCATGGAGAAGAATGAGGTGATTGAAGCGCTCTACTTGATCCTCGGACAGGATTACAAGGGCGGAGGATGGACTGTTGAGCGGAACCGCCGCTTCGGAATCCAGTCTCACTCCTGGAAGAACCACCGTGCCTATGTGGCCGACGACTATGACGAGGAGACCTACCAGGACGATGAACAGTGGGAACATGGATTCTATGAGGAGGATGACAGTTGGCTGGAAGAGGGTCACGCCTATGAGGCCTATGATGATGAGGGTCAGGACTTTGACTATGATGCAGGGTACTATGGTGAAGAAGAACCCTGGCCTGACAATGAAGAAGCGAACAGTCCCTCTCAAATGGCTGCCGCCTATGATTCCGCCTTTGCCTCCTACACGGATGCCCGAAGACGATTTCAAGAGCTGAAGACCTCCCGCGGCTATCTGCCCATCGTCGCACTGACGGACAGTGGAGGTGCACCTACATCGACGGCTACCGGATCCGGCTCTCCGTCTTCTTGGAGGGCAAAAGGGAAAGGAAAAGGGAATGTGAAAGGTGGCAAATCGAAGTCAGTGAACCGACCTCCACCTGATCCCCGTGGCAGAGCCAAGGCCAACATGAACTGTCTTCGATGTGGACAAGCAGGGCATTGGGCTGCTAACTGCCCCCAGTCATCAAGTCCGACTTCACGAACCCCGGCAATCAAACGACCAGCCTCTACCACTGAAGCGATGGCCATGTCCACACCACTGGAAGAGCGAGCTTTGTTGATCTTCCAGGACTCCGGCGGTGCTGAACGCCCTGACTGCGTCATGCTCGACCCTGGTGCTAGCGCCTTCTTGTCAGGCTATGGACCTTTCCGAAGGTATCTGGATCACCTTCGTGCACTGGAGTTTCCGGTGGACACCATCAAGATGAGCAAAGGCCGGAGACGCTTTCAGTTTGGAGGCGATGCTTCTATGTGGTCCGACTGGTCAGCACACGTCCCGACCTTTGTGGATGGAAAGTATGGCACCATTGAGTTGTTCCTGCTGCCGGGTAACACGCCTATGCTCTGTGGAAGGCCTATCATTGAGGCCTTGGGCATGACAATGGACTTCGCTCAAAAGCGCCTTCGCATCGGCAGTTCATCTTGGATGCCCGCAACTCTAGGCCGACAAGGTGAGTATCTATGGTCCCTCACCAACGAGTTCCTCAGTGTGAACTACGACCCTGGACGGCCTGAGTTTGTTCTCCGCACGAATGACCAAGGCATCGAACAACATGACGGCTACCGTCTTCAGGACTTCATGACTGCCGAGCACGGCTTCACCACCTTCGAGCACCTCGATGAGACCAATGACACCAAGACCCGTCCACTGAGGAGGCAGGAGCTGAAGACAATGGATGTGCACCTCAGCACTCAGCTCAATGACCTCTCGGCCTACATCACCAGGGAACTTCATCAGCCTGAACGACCTCGCATTCTGTGGGAGGTCTACTGTGGAAAAGCCAGAACGGCACAGATGGCCGAGACTATGGGCATGGAGACTCGCTGTTTCTCCTATGAGACTGGCTGGGATTTTGAGCGCCTTGACCATCAAGAAGAGTTTCTCCGTCTTCTTGACGAAGAGAACCCCGACGAGCTTTTGATGGCACCGGAGTGCAAACTATGGAGCAAGATGCAGTCTCTTGGACGTCGCACTCCAGCTCAGAAGGAAGCCCTTCGTGCAGCTCGCCAACACCACCACGACAGGCATTTGATGTTCGTGCGACGTGGCTACCTGGCTCAGGTCTCTGGAGGTCGACATGCGACTATTGAGCAACCGAAGAACGCCCTCTCATGGCAGACCCGAGCTCTTCGTGATCTTCCTGGCCGACGAACAGACTTCTCTCAGTGCAGATATGGAGCTCAATGCCTGGACAACGATGGCATTTGGAAGCCAGTTCAGAAGAACACCTCCCTGTTGACGACCAAGCAGTCTGTGCAGGATGCTCTTCATCTTCTATGTCAACACGATCATGAGCACTGCACCTTGGAGGGCTATGCACCTGGGTACGGCTCACGTACCAGGTATCTTGAAGAGTACCAGCCTGCATTGGCCGCCACTCTTGCTGCTGCCCTTTCCGTTGATGAGCCGCCGACCTACTGGGAAACCAGCCATGCGGCTGAGGACGAGCGAGAGACTACAAGCTCTCTCATCAAGCTACGAAGTGAAACCAAGCAGGATGCCATCCGCACTGTGCAGCGATTGCATCGCAACTTGGGACATCCTGCACCTGCCGCCTTGGTGGAACTTCTTGAGGCAAGAGGTGCATCAGATGCAATCCTTCAAGCCGCGAAGACATATCGCTGCTTCGCTTGTGCGAAGTACAAGAAGCCTGCTCAAGCCGCACCAGCTGCTATGCCCAAGAACACACAGTTCAATGAAGTGCTCCAGGCCGATGTGATGTGGCTACGCCGTGGTTCTCAGAAATATGCTGTGATGAGCATGGTCGATTCAGCAACTCGCTTCACAGCTGCGGTTCTCGTCAACTCGGAGCACACTGAAAACTACATCAAGGCCCTTGAGCGAGCTTGGATTGCACACTATGGTGCGCCCGGTTCACTTCTCACAGATGAGGGTCGTGGATGGCTCAGCACTCAAATGGACGAATGGACGTCCGCTCACAACATCAACCACATCGTGGCTCCCGGCGAGGCCCATGAGCGCTTGGCATTGGTGGAGCGCCGCCATGCAGTCATCCGAAAGTCAGTTGAGGTGTACCTTGATGACATGAAAGTTGATGGCCCCGCTGGCATTCAGGAAGCACTATGCTACATCATCCCTCAGATCAACAGCGCTCCTGGTGTAGCAGGGTTTTCTCCTGCTCAATGGGTCCTGGGCTACCAGCCGAGTCTGGCTGGTGATCTCCTCTCCGACTCGACTCAGCCAGTGCACTTTGGCGGCAATCAGACCTTTGAGGAAATGTTGTCCAAGAGGCATGCTGCTCGCAAGGCACTGAATGATGCTGATGCAGATCGTCGCCTACGACGAGCTCTCAACCTCAAGTACAAGGGCACCAACTCGGAGTATGCCTTGGGTCAACAGGTCTGGTTCTGGAGGGATGCTCGACAGCCCGATCTCGTGAAGATCCGATGGTTGGGACCAGCACAAGTGGTCATGAAAGAGCGCCGCCCAGGCACTGATGAAGATGAGGGCCCTGTGTCGGTATACTGGTTAGCGTTCAAGTCACAGCTGATCAGGTGCGCACCACACCATGTTCGGGCAGATGTCAAGAGCTTGAACCATGCCATTGATGACACCCAGCTTGCCTTGAACACTGTGCGCCAGTTGAAGTCTCGAGGAGTCACCCGCTTCTATGACCTGAACAGGGTCAACCGGCAGAACCTGGCTGATGTGGAAGAGGATGAACATGGTCAAGGATCTTCCATCGACTCGGACTCCGAACACGAGATGACACCACCACGGCAACGCCCACGCCTCATGCTGGACTCACAGCCCACAGTGACTACCAACTCAGCGGAAGCTGCACCACAGACTGAGGCGACAGCACCACCCACAGTGACTACCAACTCAGCAGAAGCTGCATCCAGCCAAGCCGTGGCACCAGCTGCTCAGGAACCAGGCCCTGAGGCAGAGGCACCCATGTCACCGCCTCCGGTACCAGGTGACACCGATGGATGGTCCGAACCCAGCCAGGAGCCAAGTGAAGAGCCTCCAATTCGAACCACAAGACCGCATACGCCCAGTGCTCAGCAGAGGCCAACACTTGACCCTGCTACAGCTGAACTCTATGAGTCTGCACCGGCCGAGACGTTTCAACAACAGAGACTCCGGTTCAACCGCCAAGAGACTCTGAGCTTTGCCCCCTTCAGACATCGCAGGACACATGGAGCAAATCCATACCCGGAGTCAATGCCTACAGCAGATCAACCTGCTTCACCACAGCAACCACCAGAGCAGCTAGCAGGTCAAGGCTTCTACCTCGAGAACCTCGACACTGCATCATTGCCACATGGGTGGCACATGGATGAACAGGGATACCTCCAGCTGGATGATCGTGTCACGGACTACTGGGAATTGAAGGCTGGCTGCCTGATTCGCTATCACCTGATCCCTCGCCGTGGACGGATGCACATTGACCAGCTCCCCAAAGACTGTCCAGTCTCAGTGGAACAGCTTGACAAGTTGAAGATCACACTCGTGCACCAACATGATGGCCGGAGCCGTCTTCATACCGATGATGGCACTGTGACCACTCCACCTGAAGGCACCACTGGTACCTGGACAGGCACCACCGTCTTTCAGCTCACAGGTGAGACTCGCAAAGAGATGGCCATGTACACCGGCACCCACTTGGTCCGCAACAGTGCACGACAGGTTGCAAAGGAACAGAAGAAAGTGCACACCAGGAAAGTGAAGAGGGACAAGGGTGGGGTGAATGAAAGGCTACTAGGCCCCCACGAGCGTGCTCTCTTCAAAGAAGCAAAGGTCAAGGAACTTCGATCCTTCTTTGACCACGGAGTCTGGGCCTTCCAAACGACTGCAGATGCCGACGAAGCACGAACTCTGACCTCGAGGATCCTGCTCAAATGGTCGAAGAATGAAGATGGCAGTCCCCGTGCCAAAGCCCGGCTCATCGTTCGAGGGTTCAATGACCCAGATGCTCTTTCTGGTGCCATCACCACCTCATCGCCAACAACGACAAGACTGTCGAGATCGATGGTGTTGTCACTTGCAGCCAATATGCATTGGCCAACTTGGACCGCTGATGTGAGCACAGCTTTCTTGCAGGGTCGCCCACAGACTCGCAAGCTATGGGTCAAACTGCCTGCAGAAGCATTACAATTGCTGGGCGCCTCTGAAGACACAAGGATGCTCTTGTTGAAGCCGTGCTACGGTCAGACAGACGCTCCCAGAGGCTGGTATCTGGAAGCTGTGGACCGCTTGCTGCGAGCAGGCCTTCGTCAGCACCCACTGGATCCGTGCGCTTTCCTGATCTATGAGAGGGATGATCCCGACTACGATGAGCACAATCCCATTCACCAGGAAACCGCCACGTTGGGAATTGAGAAGCTTTGCGGCATGGTGATTATGCATGTCGACGACATGCTGGGCGTTGGCTGTTCTCGATCCCCTCGATACAAAGCAGTCACCGATATGCTTCGAGCCAACTTCTCATTCCGAGAATGGAAAGAAGACCTGCCAAAGCTCGAGTACTGCGGATGCGAACTTGAAAAGACCGAAGAAGGTGGTCGCCGCCTCCATCAGGAGAGCTACTATGCCAAGGTGAAGCCCATCACACTTCACAAAGGACGCGATCCTCATGACCAGCTGTCAGAGAAAGAGGTCACTCAAGTTCGTGGTGTGCTTGGCTCTTTGCAATGGCCTGCAGTACAAACAGCACCACATCTCCAGTGCTCGACGTCAATGCTGTCAGGACAAATCACCAAGGCCACTGTGAACACAGTCCTGGAGTGCAACAAGCTGCTGAGGTTCGCCAAAGAACATAACGATGTCAGCCTCCACTACAACCCGATCGGACACCCGTCCGAATTACAGCTGCTGTGTTTCTTCGATGCTGGCTTCACGGCACGATCCGACGGCAGTTCACAGGGCGGCTACATCCTGATGTTTGTCAACCGCCAGTTGCTTACCTCCGGAGAAGATGGTGAGTATCATGTCTTGGACTGGCGCAGCTTTCGCACTCCTCGAGTCACCCGGAGCTCACTGGCAGCTGAGGCCCAAGCAGGTGGCCAAGCGGTCGATAGCGTTGACTTCACCTGCAGGTACTGGCACTACATCATGAACCCCGACCTCAAGCTCAAAGACCTGCTGAGGGCGTCTTCAACCTTGACGCCAATCATGATCACTGACGCCAAAGCCTTGTATGACTCCTATCACAGGGAGGGAGTCAGCTCGTCAGTGGTGGACAAGAGAGTGAGCCTCGAAATTCGAGTCATGAATGAGATGCTGGAGGAACTCAATGGTCAGCTTCGATGGATGAGTTCAGAAAGACAAATAGCTGACGGACTCACCAAGGAGTCAGCTCGTGTCTTGTTAGCTGCTCGCCTACGGCATCGACGTGTGAAGTTGACTTGGGATCCAAACTATGTGGCTTCAAAGAAGAAGACGAAGAATGAAAAGGCAAAAGCCATAGCAGAGACAACACTCGACTTCCAGCCGGAACACTATGAGCCTGAGGAAAATCAGGACCCTGTCGAGGAGCACACTCCACCGAATGCCGATGTCTCTGAATACCCCGAGATCCTTGAAGATGATGGCATGTCAGCGAATGAAGAGGTTCCTGCCACCGCCTACTTCTCAAAGACCATGGAAGCTGTGACCTATGTGTACGCCATGAGCCATGGCGGCTGCCCCATGAAGAATGTCAAGAAGAGTAGCAAGCCGAATGCTATGTGGCTGATGCTGCTGCTCTCCATGCTGGTGCTGGCCAAGGGTCAGCAATGTGAGAAGGGTGAGGAGCCAGAGAATCGAGAAGAAGGTCATTTGTTGATGTGGTTGGCCATCCTGGCTCTACTGCACGTGACCATCATGGCAGGCGTCTTCTTTGCTGGACGCTGGAGCTGCCACAAGGACACCAAGGATAAGCCCCTGATGAAAGAAGTACATGTTCAGAAGGACGAGCCAATCGTCCATGCCCGACTTCGAGACCTCCTCCAACAAGAAAAGACAAGATCCGAAGAAGCACTCCGAGCGGCCAGGGAATCCCGATCTGCCTTCAACCTGCAGATCGATGAGGTTCAAGATTTGCGAAATGAGGTGCTAAGCCTTCGCAACATGGTCGTCCAAGGGCACAGCTTGATCAGCCGGTCAATCTGGGAGATGGATCACCACACCTCCATGTGCCCCTTTGCGAGGCCCATCGTCACCAACCGGACTGCAACTTGCTGGCATCACGAGACTTGCCACATGGTTGAGCAGATGAATGAGCCCCTGCTGATCCGGAGGGCCTGCGCCTACTGCGCCATGCACCGTCCTCCACCCGACCGGACGGATGCCCAGGCGAGGACGATCCGAACCGATTTGAATGCCTGGCTGACGAACGCTGCTTTGTGGCTGCCAACTGAGGCCTAAAAGGCTAAAGAACAGCCCTGTGTAAGTTGCACGCTGTGCAACATGCTGTGCAGTGTGTTTTTCACTTTTCATGAGTCACGACATGTCGTCGCGACAGTCTTTCGATCACGACTTGATCACCCACTCCACCGACAGAGGGTGGGCTCGAACCGCCAAAAGAGGCACGGGTGCGCGCTTCGTTGCGCTTGCGTCGCGACTCGTCGCTTCGCCTTGTTTTCCCCTTGGTTGTGGACCTCGTGCGCTACAACGACAATTCGACACATGGACCTTTAGAGAATAAGAGGCCCAACCCATGGCACTTTGGGTTGGTAGACACGACACACGGGACTGCCAGTCCGTTCTGCCGCCCCAGAGTCTGACCCCCCCCAATACCACCACCCCTGGCCGTTTCTCGGGGTATGTGGCAGTCCCATGAGTCGTCCCTGGGTGATTGAAGCGCCCCTGTGCACACGACTGCTCTAGCACCTGACTCGGCCTGCAGGGTGACCAACCTGTTGTCGGCAAGGGGCGCTGGATGATCTCAATGCAACCTCCCACAACCTCGAGCTATGCCAACTCTCTACCTTGGCATCTGTAAAGCCAGCCAAAAATAGGCATCAAAAGGCAAAGATTTGGGCATAGTTGGAAGGTCTATAGGTCTTTTTGCCCCTCTAAGATGCTTTTGTTCCCTCGAGCTTCGAGGTTCAAGCACATCCTCCGGACACATAGACCCCTACATCCAGAGCCTTTACCAAAATCATCCTGCTAAATGGAGGCCTTGGAGCCTCAAAAAGGACCTCTACTCAGTGCACGCCATCCATTCCAGAGTGTGGCCAAAAGAAACGAACAAATCTTCGCTTCACTGAGGCTGCATCTAGCTGCAGGGCATCCCAGTTCTGTGGAGTTGCACCTAGCCCCAAAAAAAGACACCGCTGCCTGAACCTCCAGAAGCGCTTCCAAGCTCTCCAGTTGAAGGTCATCTAAGTGCAGTTCCGTCTTCCCTTGAAGCTGTTGCACCTCAAATCTTCGAAAGCCGCTGGTTCCGAGGCGAAGCCTGCTCAGCAGCCTGCTTCTTGGGTGAGTGCTAAGCAGCCGTTGTCGAAATCCTTGCGTGGTACCAAACAGAAATCACGTGCAAACATCACCCACCAAATGGTAGCACGCTGAATAAAAAGGCTCGCTCAACAGCAAAAGGCTTGAGTCGACACCCTTCACGTCACCCAGTTGTACCTCACACCAGGACCACACCGGACCACACCGTATCAGGACTCAGGTGGGGGAAGTCCTGCTGTCGTGGTGAGGAACCACCCACCCCCCACCGATTCCGGGGCCAAGGTGCACGTTGCAAGGCCTTCATCAGCTGCAAAGGCTGTGGCTGAAGGCCGCGCTCCTCGAGTTGGATGCGTTCCAGCCGAAGGAGTTGGACGTCGTTGACCAGGGACACAGCTAGAACCCTAGACCTCCAAGCACATCCCCAGAACTGAAGGACAACCGCCCCTGGCACCCACTCCAACCACCGTACGGAGGTTGAAGCCCTGGAGTATGAGAGATCAAATCCGGGGCCCCTTGGTTGATCCCCTGAACATCAACGATTCCAAGAGATTTCAACCTACAAATCTCTTCTTTTTTCGGTGACCATTTGGAGCCCCTCTCCATACCGTGGGAAGCTACAGCTACAGGGCGTCAGCCAGGTCCGTCGGTCCGTCCGGAATTGTTCATGTCCACTGCAGCTGTTGGTTGAAAGCCCCGCGTCCTGGGAGTCCGCAGAGTCGTCTTCCACATCTGCACTTAGAAGCATGGCGTACTTGAAGGCTGTCCAAAGCTGGGCAGGTGTAGAACCCATGTAGAACCCTTATAGGGTCCAAATCTGCTTTCTTAAGGTGCCTTCTTTTCGGAGACCGTTTCGTGCCGGATCATCCGAGCTGGGACGTCGTCTGGTTTCCTAGATCCAGCGACTGCTCCAGAGCGAGGCTTGTCTTCTCCATCCCTTAGAGCGACTAGGTCCTGACTAGGCTTCATCGACTAATCAAAGAGCCTTCCCGGAAAGCATGGTTCTTGCAAAACTATATGTCCTAGTTGGGTACCCCAGGTGACGAGTCCTAGTTCAGGTCACTTAACCTCTGCTGGTTTTGAAACACTCCTTGAACCCCTTTTGTCGCTCAGAAGCGCAAAAAAGTATTCCCTCGATTTTGGGGGTCTAGCCTCTGTGGCTCTCGCTGCTTTATTCAGATGTCTAAACAATGGCCAAGTGTTCCATTGCTGGATGCCTACTAGGAATCTGATTGAGCTCCTATTCTCATATTAGCCTAGCTATGACATGCAGGGCGACGAATTAGCTGCTCGAAAGCACAAACGGCAAAGCCAAGAAATGCAAAACATTTGTTCAAATACTCTTAGGTCCTACGCCAAATGCTATCTAACCCAATGGTGAGGGATGGAATACACCTCAGCCACCAGCTTTGTACAGACATGGGGAATTGACAACTGACTCAAATGAGATCGTAGACTGGTAGACCCTGCCTTGTACATACCTTTGGCCTGACACTCGCCGGGAGGTTCCATCTACTATGAGACTGCACCAGCACCAGCACTAGACTGCAGGGATTTGTGAGTGTGTTTCATGATTTGTCATATGTATTCATATGTCAAGGGCCCACAGCTGGTCGACCATAAGGTGACGCAGGCGAGCGGCATGGCAGCATATGGATTTGCTTCAAGCATGACAACTCTCCATGCATTGTTTCTGAGAAGGTGTCCATCCAAATCCGACATAAATAGATAGCCTCCAACTTGATTTTATGGTCAAAGGCACGTCCGAAAAACGCCTCCCTGTGCTCGAAGCTGATGAGCAAGTATGAACTGCGTCAGTCGCCACAGACTTTTCATGATCACCACCTAAGCTTCTCCTCTTCCCACATCTCCATCACTATGGGTCAAAACCGGGTCAAACCGAAAAACGCCTAGAAAAACGCCACAGAATCCCACCGCACATCCACCTGCGGCCAATGGTTTGGTGGAGATTGAGTTCCTGCCGGCTATGGGGTGCCCATGAAGGATCCCTCAAACTACTGCCCCTTTGATTTTCGCCCTCCTGTCCGCAGATCGACCGTGGCACAGGCCGGCCCATGCGGAGGGCCGCTCCGGGCGTGAAAAAATGCCGCCTGCAATTCTGGGGGCAAGAAGCTGTCGTCTTTGTAGACGGCCCCATCAGACCTCACAAAACCGAACAAGCGAGTCCAAATGTTCGATGCTCAGGTATCAGGCCCCTCATTCGGCCTCAGAGTTCTATGAGGAAAGTCCAAGGTTGTTTTCCAAACATTCCAGGTGGCAGATTGAAAGATATTGAAAGCACATCGCTGGCCGACTTCGCTCTCAGAAAGCAGCGAGTCACAAGCAGCGTTCCGAAGCTTGGGAACCTGTGACCTGTTCGGTGCTTTCAGGCACCCGGACACCACGAAGAGCCGTCGGCCTGCGAGACGAGCGGCGGGGACCTCGACGATCTCCCCAGACACGACCCAGTCGACGGGACTGCCAGTCCGGACTGGCGAGTTTCACGGCCAGGGGTGGTGGTGCCAGAGGGGGTCAATGGATCGGCAGTCCTGAGATTTATCAGAACGAGCGAGTACAGGATGCTTCGCCGACCGACCACACAAGCTGAGGATCCCAAGCAGGTCGATGCCAAGGCATGGCGCCAGGGGGGGGGTTTGCATCATCGGCCAGTTTGTTCGAGCCATGTGGGCCCGGCCCGGAAGTCTTCTTCAGCCGGCCATGCCATGAAACTGACCGCGGCTTCTGATCCTGATGATCCACCCTTCCGAGCATGGCCTCCATTTCCGAGGTTCTAGGTCCACTCGATGACTTCGACTTTAAGATGACTATGTTCCAATGAGTTTCAGTGATCCAAAACATTCCAAGCACACTAGCTGCATCTAACACTTGTGACATGCCTGGCTATCTTGAATGTCCCGCTGGAGGCTATCTTGGACTGTTCGAGCCATGGCCTTCTTTCGCCAGCGGGCCCTCCCTCGCGTGGTCCATCGGGCACCATCCAGCCATGTCATACGTTCCATCCCTAGCAGGTCTCTGCAGATCCATCCCTTGTCCCGGTCCGTGTTGGGCCTCTCAACACGCTCGTCTCCAAGGGCTTCGCCCACCTATGGACACAGCGTGGGTGGAAAGGTGGCAACAGCGTGGGTGGCCACTACGTGAAGCGTGGGAGGGCCTTTCCAAATCGAAGAGAAACAACTAGAAGAGTCCTGAGAGTGCCCAGGACTTCTTCCAAGAGGCAAACCGAGGCTGTTCTTAGCTTTCTATGGTCCAGCGAGGATGCCACCGCCCAGCGAGGATGCCACTATACAGTTGGACTCACTAAGGTGGGAAGTTGTGTCTCCCCCCAGTGAGTGCTTCAGTCTGTTAGTGAGTCCCATAGTCAAAAATGTGAGTGAGTCCTATATAGTGCAGGAAGAAGAACAATGTCAACGAATCCAAACCATGTTACTTGAGGACTTGGTGGGTCCCACTAGTCTAGCTTGAAGTCGAACATTCTACAATCATTTCAATAAGTAGATGGCACAAATACCCAATATCGTGAGACGGTGTGTGTGTGTGTGCTGTGTGTAATATGTAATACTACTCCCATCTTTTCATGACATCTTGAGGTCTGCGCCATCGAAACCGGCAGCCCGGGCGACCCACCTCTCGCGACAGAATTTCTGCTTATGGGTAAAGGCGCCTTGGTCCTAATGTATGTAATGAATGTTCGGTCTATCCTATTACCAGGTTTCAGTAGATGATGGTTAGTAAAAGGCCTTTAATGGCTTACCGACTGTTGCAGGCAATGGGACAGACCCCCCGCAAAAAATATCTTATGCTTATGCTTATATAGTTATGTTGACGATGATGCCCAAACATGAACCCTGTTCTGATAGGAAACAACATGGCACTCAATCTAAGTCTTTCCAGCTGGAAGACTCAACCGCACTCGAGACAGCCACCGAACAATACAACCCTGCTCCACTGTCAACCCTTTCGCCCAACCCCGCCCCCTGACACCCCTCACCCCTCAATCCGGGACCCTGGTCACCCCACCATCCGAGCACAAAGAGCGCGCACCCGGAGGTGAAGACGACCTGGCGCTGACCATAGGGAAAACCATGGGACAACGGAGCTCCGCGAACGAAGGGAAGACTCCGGGTTTGGGATCCCAGCTCCAAACAAGGCACCTGAAGAAAGGGCCATGCGCATCCACTGTAAAGGAGTGGTTGGGGAAGCCAGATCGCATCGCTTCAATCTAGATAGGACATCTTGGGAAATCTGAGGTGTTGACTCTAAGGCTGAGGTGCTGGCACAAGGTTCGGCCGGGCCTCCTTGTATAAGGTATAAATAAAGTAATGGTCCTGGAACGTTTGCAATGTCCCCATCAGTGTGAAGCATGTTTTCAGGTAAAGGGTGAGTGGCCTCACACTTCGTCTACTCCACTTGTCCAAATCCAGCGATGCAGAAAAATGTTGCCTTCCCTGCAAGCACCGCCAGCATCTTTACCAGCACCAAGCCGAAGCAACAGAATCGATGGGTTGATCTTGATGTTCCAAAAACCTTCGACATCGGGACTCTGTCTCTGTGTCTCTCTCTCTCTCTCTTTCTCTTTCTCTCTCTCTCTCTCTCTGCATGATGCTCGAATTTCTTGGAGTTTGCAGCTCCCCATCCCGGCCCTGGGGTGATCCATCACTTGGGGTTGGAAGTTGGTCGCTGCAACGCCGCATGTCAGCTCCAGGTCAGTTCAACGAGTTGAACTCGTCTTCGCAGCTTGGGACATGTGAGCGATGACTGAGCGACATGTCAGCGGCATTTCCGTTGGGACGATGGGAGTCCGAAGTCGTGGCTCCCACCCCACCACGGCGTTCTTTGAGCCGGTTCTTCCCGAAGAACCCTTGCTTTACGAAGGGTTTTACACAACACCCGATCAACCATTTTATAAAAAGGGTCGAAAGTCGACTTCCAGGGGCAGTATACCCTTCCATCTTTCCGGCGCTGGGGGGATGATTGGAATGGAACTGCCTACGTTTCGCTGGTAGTCCGGGTTCGCACGTTTAGATGGCGCCTGAATTTCAAGACCTCTTGGGGCGCCATCGAACCTCTGAAACCACTTTAAAAGCACTGTAACCTTTAGGCGAAAGAAAAAAGGAACTTCTGAGTCTGCTTCAGGAACTTCAGTGTCCAAAGGCTGCAGGCCTTTGATCTCCAGGGCTGTAGGCCTTCCAACCTGTGACAACTGGACTGGCCAAGATGAGATGGATCGGAGTCGATGGGGTTCACTCATCCGAAGAAAAGGAACATCAAGGAACATCCCAAAGGCTCAGCGGCAGGACCCTCAATTCGCTAGGGTTTTGACCCTCACAACCAGGGTTTTGGACCTCCAACATGTAGCAGTTGGTTTGGGTCCAGGGTCGCCTGTGGGATCGAGATTTGTTCACCAGCACCTTCAGTTCGGGGTCACCTGGTGTTGGACTTAGTATACAGGATCTCCAGCCAGCACACCCCTGTGTTCAGGTCCAGCATCCTCCAACAGGTCTCCTTTAGAAGTCTCTTGGGCCGGTCTCGGTGGCCTGTGAAGTCGGATGCTGGGGTTATGTAACATACCTCAAGAGAGGTGGAACGTGACCTGAACTAGGATCCTACTGGGGTACCCAACTGGGATAGTCGATCTATAGGGTCCCTCAACCTCTGTTGGTATCTCTGAAATCACCATTGGCCCCTAAATCACGCTGGGCTGGTGATGCCAGCCAGCTTGTTGCCCGT